TTTTTTTTAACCTAGCTTGTGGCCCACGGACGTCGTTTAAACTGAACTGAATTGATCTGTGAAAGTCTCATGGATACGAGAGATATCCGAATTAAATTATCATATTCCAATCTTTTCTTACCCTCAATTAGCATTAAAGACCTCCCACATGAGAGTGTCGAAGTCCGGAGCCCCGCTGAAGTCCATAAAGCCCCCGGGCATGGAATCATGCAGCCAATTCATAGAATCAGCGTGCGGGTCGTAATCATCCATGAAGGAGTTCAGCGGTAGGTTTTCGACGCCTGAGCCACCACGTAGTGTAGAAGGCAGCTCCATTCCCTCCTTGGAAGTCTGCGGCTGCTGTGCTCTTCCTGTGCCCGAAATCGACTGATTCTTGCCTCTGGTCGAGCTTGAAGGGGCTCCTAAACTTCGCATTCTGACAAGTCTCTGAACAGTCGCACCAGATAGCTCATAGATGCAGTCCCTTGCGCGCTTAGCCTCGGCCCAATACTCACCAATGCCGCTTAGGATATTTAGACTGATGCTCGTGTCAGCGACGACCTCATCAATCTGCACCTCGGATACAACATGGGGCAGTCTCCACAAACAGTGTAGCATTATCAGCGTGCTCAAGAAGACCGAGTGAACAATGAGTCGGCTGTATAAGAGAGCTTCCTGTCGGTAAAGCTCCCCAAACCCGCGGAGAAGATCTACAGCATGCTGGAAACATCGCGCGAGCACCTCTTCCGATGGAGCGGGGATCCCGGGGCTAGGCCTTAGCAACAAGATCATCATCTCGTGATACTTTGTTTCGCATATTTTCGTGATAGCATCACCTTCAGCTCCACCCGGGATGTCTGCAAGCCAGGTCTGAAGGTGTTCGATCATCTCTTTCTGCCACAGATGGATGTCGGGCACCGGTGGGTAGGCATATCGGGGAGGATCTCTGCAGATGCTATGCATGACATATTTAATCTCAGAGTTGATACGGGCGAGTTTGAACAGGTGGATAGAGAATGTCATGTGAGAATTCGTGTGATTTCGCGAGGTTTCGTCGCAAATTGACTCGGAAAGATGACGATCGGAGACATCTGAAGGGAGCTGAAAATATTGTCAGCCAAGCTTTGTCCGGGAAGCAACCAGTATCGAATCACATACCCGAAGCTCGCACGCTTCATCCCTCACACCGATCGGCCGACCCATCATCGTCCCCAATGTACGATCAAAGCTGTATACAACCCAGAAGATGCGAGTTCGCATTTCCTGCTCTAAGAACGAGATGGAGAATGTCGATGATGCGCGCACATCACGCTGAAGGCCCAGGTCAATAAGGGACCCCAAGCATTGGTAATTCAGGCTCCAGACATTGATGTCGCACGAGGGATTATGGAGTCCGTATACCATTAGTAAAAGCAGACTCTGCAGTCCCTCCAAAGAGCCATCGGCACATGCACGTTCGAAATACTGGGTAGCTGCTGTGTAATACCCCTCGGCTGGAAGAGGAATTCTAAACCGCCTAGAGAGATCCGAGGCTGTTATTGCGAGAACCATGTAGACGTGAAAGGCATCGGCTGGGTTGGAGGGTGTTTCATTGCTATACATTCTCTCGAGTCTTGTCATGTGGGTCGGTTGGTGTAGGAACGGGTACACGAGATGTACCGAAGCAAAGTACTTTGAAGTAAGCTCCTCAGCGTCTTCTTTGCGACTTGGGAGCGGTGCTGGGCTATTGAAAAATTCAGATGAAAGCGACATTGGCTTGTCGCGTTGCCATGATTTTCCGATGACCCTGTTCGTCGGCCAGCACTCGAAAATATGAGGTTTGCTAAGAAATATCCGCTTGAGGGACCGATGTATCTCGGCTCTCCCGAGGAAAGAGAGACAAGCCCAATTTCGTGGGCCGGTCTCGAATGTGTTCGAGATGGTTGCGGGTCTGCTGGCCCGGGTCGTTCATGGTGAGGTATTATTGACTGGCGGATGCGGGCTCTCTGTGGAATGGCAGACTCAAGTTGAGTGCTTTCCTCCGTGGGTTCGAGCTGTGAGGTATCTGAGGGGTCTAGTTGCGGACCATCCTCTAGTTGGACCGTTGGGTTCTGTTCCTTTACTAAAGACTCTAACCACTGCACTCGATTTTGTAGATTCGCAATGTACCTGATCACCTGTTATTATCAGAAGGGATAGAGAGAAGCAGAGGTATCCATGCGACTCAGAGGTAATAACACGTACGTGCGATTAACCTCCTGTTTTCCATCGTTCACGCAGGCAACATTAGCCTTTCTACACGATACACAACCCGTTGGTCCCTCAGAACAACGGATTTTTCTCCGCTGACACCTCACACAAGCGGCGCGGTTCCGAGACCGCCGTGGAGAGTCCATCACGAAGCCGACAGGGTCCCTTATGAGTGTTGAAGTCGCTGATTAATGAAGATGAAAAAGAAGAACCTAGATAGACTTAACAGTGTCCGTCAGAATGAAAAGTCTCTGCAAAGAAGGAAAATACTGGAGTCGACGAGTTTCTGGCCAAGGCGGGAAGCTTCCGATAGGACGGATGGCATCCGTCGCGTCATTTAAAAGAGAGCTACATTCCGATTCCAGCCAATCTATAACTCCATCATATTATTTTATTTCTAGGAAAATAAAATTGATATCCAAAATGGTTCTTGTTCACATCGGTATGGTTTATCCCCGGCACCAATCAAGTACTAAACTGACCTCAACAGTCCTGTTCAAATTCCGCGCGGACGTCGGAGAAGAAGTGAAGCAGGAGTTTCTTTCCCAAATTAAGACACTCAAGTCTTTGCCCTGTGTTAAAAGTCAGCGGCTTGTTGTTGGAGGTCCCTCAGTCACTACCCCAATTGAAAAGAGCAAAGGATTTCAATATGCTCTAGTGAGCTACCACAATGATCGAGCAGCATTGGCTGAGTACCAAGCTAGCAGTGAGCATGAAAGGTAAGGGATATCTTTCGAAACCTAGAGTCCCTAGTAAATAATGGGATCTCATGCTATTTAGGGTCACAAGCAGGTACTTTATTCCTTATAAGGAGGATCTAGTTCGGTTTGACTTTGAGACCGATCAGGTCGATGAGGCACTGCTTGGGTTTTGATATATCCAATTCCATTATCGGTTATAGGGGAAGATAAATCTCTCCCTATTGTGGAGGCGCAGGGCAACATAGACATATAAAGTACCATGTGGAGAGAAGCAAGAGTCTGAATTCCCGAAAACACATATTTATTAAAATGAATAAAGACTTGATATATATCTATGGTGATCCACAATTGAATTTCTAGTAATTTCTAGTACTTCGAAATCCCAAGATGTTTGTTCACTTCCACAATCATGTCTTCTCCCTTCGCCTCGCCAGAGACTCTTGCCAGGATGTGCTGATCAGGGCGAATCAAAACCCCTCCACCATTAACCAATTCATCAGCAAACCAGCTTTGCTTGACGATTTCAAAGTCCACTCCGAGGCGCCAGATATTAAGAGTTAAACCGATCATGCTACAGTGCTTCTGCAAAAGTGTAATGACAGGAATTTCCTGCTCCTGTCCCAAAATCAAAGTCCAAGAGTCTGGACCACAGAGATCCAGGGTACTCCACTGATAAGCCTGAACCTGATCTGCGTCAAGCTCCTTGATGTAGGAGACATCGACTGGCTTTCGAGGAAGCGAAGAACGTTTGACTGCCTCTGTCTCCGGGGAGAGCTCATTTGGGAAGCTGATCCAAGCGTGAGGCAAGCGCACCCCGGGCACAAATTTCGGAGAATAATGTGAAGCATGAGCAGGTGGCTCGGTGGCTCCATAGACATATCCAATATGAAGCCCCAGCTATGAGAAAGAGTGTGAGTAAGGCCTGCCTCTTATGGGAAGAGTGAAACCAAGACGAAGTCACTTACATTATCGAAATGCTCCCTTTGTCCTCCAATGCCTACCTCAACCTGTGTGCGCTGCGCCGGATCTGCCAATGCTGCCATCATATTCTTCCGTGCTTGCACAACATCTTCCACACCAGCGGTCTTGAGACTCCGCAACAGTGCAAATATCTCCTTACCGTTCTTAACGCTCTGCTTGGAATAGGAATCCGCAACACCGCGTCGTTCGGCAGTGTATGTCGAAAGTATACATGGTGCTGCCACTCCCCGGTGAACCAAGGCAATCTTATAAGCCAAGTTGTGAACATCCGCAAGACCACAATTCAAGCCTAGTCCACCAGTTGGGGGGAATGAGTGAGCAGCATCTCCAGCCCTGAAATTAACCAAAAATTAACAAAGAATCCACAGGGGCAATATCTGATCCCAGAAACTCACAGGAAGATATTGCCCTTCTGGAACGTGAAAGCAACCTGCCGACGGAAAACCCAAGGGCGATAGCTCAGGATATCAAACGGAACATTATCTTTACCGATAGCCCCGCAGACCTTGGCCCTGCACATATCTTCTGTCCAAGACTCGACCGGGTGCTGTTCAACGTCTACCTGGCTGATATGTACCTGGATCCCATCGAGATCATAACCGATGATAAATCCTGCAGCTATCGGGTCCATTATCCAGTATAGCATACCGACCCGGTCACCAACGACGGGCCGCAGGTTGGCATTAAAATGAATGGTCATCATTGTCTGGTCTGATTCTTCGCTCTCAGACTCAATGCCGAGCAACCCGCGGACCTTGCTTCTACGACCGTCACAAGCTATGAGGTGACGGGACTTTGTTTGATGAAGTTTTCCAGTCGACCGTTCCTCAATTGTTGCTACAACTTCATTTTCACTCTGGCTTTCAGTTAACCGCGTTGCTTCGTTCATGACAAGAATTTCCCATATACTTACCTGCTCCACTGCATGAATACTGAATCCCTTGATCAAGGTAATGTTCGGATCCTTTGCGATAAAATTGGACAATTCTTGCTCAAGCGCTGGTTGGGGTATATTATGAATCATCTATTTGTTTAGATTGGTCAGTGTGATTCCCACCCATTGTCTCACTATAGAGACCAAGTACCTCTGGCGTGTCATCCAAGACTGCAGGATCCATACGCTCATACGGAAGCCTGCCGATCGCGTCCCCGCAGAGATTGGTGAGAAAATTGACCGAGGAGCTATCATCTCGCGAAGTGCCTAGCTGGCGAATATGCTTCTCACCTAGGTCAAATTGACGCAAGATCTCCAAAGAGCGGGGGTTGATTGCATGGGCTTTTGGAGCATCGAGGCGCTCGGGATAGCGCTCGATGATCAATGATTGAACTACATGAATCATGTCAACAAAACTTTCCCTGTCGACTCCTCAGTAAATATCCATACCTCCGAGTCGAGATAGAAGGAGAGCCTGCAATAGGCCAGTCGGACCTCCGCCCACAATGAGCACCGGTACTGAACTCGGTAAAGTGCGAGAGCCCCCAGTCTGGTGGGCAGCAAAATCTCGGGACGGAGCCATTATTTCCGTTAAATGTGTTTCGACTAATCTCTTCTAGAATAATTTGAAGGGTGCAAGCCGATTTGGTTTCACTTTTTCAAATGCACGACTTATGCTGGGGATATGTATGGTGGGAGAAGCTGAGTGGAGGGGAAGTCCTAAGTCGGCCAGAACACGCAATGCTTCATTCTCGCCAATTAAAGAACTGTAAAGTATTTGTGAGTGATTTGAGACCAGATGCTGGGTCCTTCTCCTCAGTGGATGCAATATTATGGTAAAACCTTGATAGGTGTAGATTGGAAGATAGAGAATCCACATCAAATATAGTAGGCGGGATGAAGAGGAGCTAACTAGATTTTCACACGCACTGAGCCCGTTATTACGACAGCCACATACATCCCTGCATAGCGCAAGACTCGTCGTCAGGGCCGGATTTATGATTGGCCCTCAAAAAATACAGGGAGACTAAAAGGATTTATGAAGGTCTTTTTGGGCTGGATTTCTAGCACGGAGTACATACTTTAATACTAGTACGAAGTACTATGTGCTCGATATTGTTTCAGACTAAAAGGGAATGGTCACCACGTACTATACTCCCATGTATTAAAAAGGAGATTGCCGCCTTGTTTCACGCAACGCAGTGTTCAAAGTCGTTCCTTTTTTCCCTTCTGGTTCCTGACACTCGTTCTTAATTTTCTACTTCATATTTTCAAGGGCGTTCTTGGGCATCTTCGACATGTCGGATAGCTTAGAACAAGAGTCCGAGAAGAAAGTCGCGGAGCAGTTCCATGCCGCACCTGGAACAGAAATATTGTTCGATGGTAGCGACAATGGAAGCATTTCTGAACAGCTTCACCAGCTGAAGCACCGTGAAACAGGCGACGGCCGCATGTTATTGGTTCCGCAGCCTTCGATCAACGATCCAAACGATCCTTTGAGCTGGTCTACCACGAAGAAAAGTTTGACTTTCTTCAACGGCTGTTGGTTCGCGTTTATGGGCGCTATTACGGGTCCTATTATGGCAGCTGGTATGTATTCATCATCTATAACATGGGTCGTATTGAGCGACGCTGATAAGTACAGGTATGATGCAACTGTCCACCACCTTCGGCAAGTCACTCCAGGAATTGACCTATGCAAACGGAGCTTGTTTGATCAATCAGGGTGTATGGAATTGTGTCTGGATGCCCTTTGCCGTCAAGTATGGCCGCCGTCCCGTCTACATTTTCTCGAACTTGCTAATGGCCATCGCCTGTATCTGGCTGGCCGTTGCATCCAACAAAACGTACACTGTTTTCCTGGTTGGGCGTGCTTTCCTGGGCGCTTTCCAGGCGCCGATTGAGTCAATTGTCCCGTCCACAGTGACTGATATGTTCTTCTTGCATAACCGCGGAGAGCTCATCGCCATCTACGGACTGTCTGTCCTGGGGGGTAATGAACTGGGACCTATGTTCTCTGGATTCATCGTACAAGCACTTGGAATGGACTGGGCCTTCTGGATTGTGACCATATTTGTTGGTGCCAGTTTGATATCCATGTTCTTCTTCATGCCAGAGACCAAGTTCGACGGACCCCGTCCCGATCCATTCCAAACCACCAAAATCAATGCTGATAAAGACAAGGTGTCGGTTCAGGAGTCAACCGCAGTTCCCAGAAAGACATTTGTGCAAGAACTCAAGTTCTGGAATAGCGGAGATCCAAATGTGAATCTAATCCACGTCTTTCTGCGCCCGTTCGTGCTAGTGGCCTATCCCACCGTCCTCTGGTCGTGTTTTATTTACGGAATGGCTCTTAGCTGGAATGTCATCCTCGGAGCGGCGGTGGCACAGCTCTTTGCAGCACCTCCATACGGATTCAATTCCAATGGCCAGGGTCTCTTCTTCCTGTCGCCCTTCGTTGGCTCTCTTTTCGGTGTCTATTTCTCCGGTCCAGGAGGTGATTGGATTGCCACCTTCTTCACCAAGCGCAATAACGGTATTCGCGAGCCCGAGATGCGGCTACCGACCTGCCTATTGGCGGCCCTTTTCACATTCTTTGGTGCACTTTGGTTTGGACTTTCCTACGAGCACCAAATGCATTGGGCAATGCCTGTTGTGGGGGCCGGTATTCTGTCGGTAGGAAGTCAAATGGGAACCACGCTTGGAATGAACTACGCCCTGGATTGTCACAAAGAGGTAAGGAATTTGCCTTTTTGAGCCCGGACAACTGTGATAATACACCTGCTAATCGTTTCCATTTTTGGGTTTTCAGCTTTCCGTCGAGATCATGGTCACCATTGCTGCTTTGAAGAGTTGCATTGCGTGGGTCTGGACGTGGGTGATCAACGACTTTATCACTTCCAGTGGTGTTTTGAGTGTCTTCATGACAGTTGCGGCCATCAACGTCGTGGTCTACTTGGTCTATATTCCCTTCTATCTCAAAGGCAAGGAGATCCGAATTTGGTTACACCGGAAAGATCTCCTCCGAGCCGCTGGTATTATCTAGTCATCTAGTCTGGGGAGCGAATAGGTGGAGCATTCTGATGGTGTACCTGAGATTACACATAGAATATGAGGCCCTGTGGAATTGACGCCGAAAATGACCGCTACTGAGGTCAGAAACGGCCGCCTTTCCACCCGTGACTTCCAGCGGCGAGCTGCTGCTTGATCGCACTTTGGATCCACTATGCCCTATATAGCCCTGGTCTATTGTATTGAAATTAACCCAAATCACCTATCAGACAAGCAGTGTAATTTGTAATTTAGAGACGGGTTTTGTGTGTTTAAAATACTACTAATTGTTTAAATTGCTAGAGTAGTCAAGAGACAATAGCTGCGTAATATTATATATATTACCGTTATTTACTGTAATTGTCTTGGCGACTTTGGGGACCCCGGCCCTTGCATACAACCACGTGACAATACACAAGACGACCCACCAACGTCACACTATACAACATATGTATGTCTGCCTCCCGTAGTCACGTTCCTTCTACTCTCAGATTATTTTACCTTATTGTCGACATGGCTTTGGACTTTTCCTAAGCCCCTGGCGTTATGGGTAAGGCCCACCCCAAACTGTCCTTCATCCAGTCATGAACACACTCGTTACTAAATAAAGGGTTCTATAGATGTTGCCAAGACATCACCGCGAACTCGCACTGTCGAGACGCTGGCCCAGATCCTCGAGGAGCGCCGAGTGGTCCATATTCGAGGGACTCCCACCTCCGGGAAAACCACTCTGGGCCGCCTCCTCTACAGGCATTACCAGGAACGAAATCTTCCCGTCGTGACTTTTTATGCCTGGCGCACTGACGAACCTGGGAGCTTTGAAAAAAGGATTAGAGACAAAGGAATTGAAGATTATCCTGTCTTTGAGGACAAAGGCTTTGTCTTTGATGGCGAATACCTACTCATTCTCGACGAAGGACAGATGACATACAGCGACCAATCCCTTTGGTTGGGGTTGATCAAATCTCAGAGCGGGCAGTCAAGCGGGCCCAGGATCTGTATCCTTGCAGCGTATGGCAGCCCAGGTGGAGGACCAGATGATAACTACTCGGCCGCAAGCTCGCTTGCCTTCTTTGGCCCTCCGCAGAGGGTCTCGATCACGAAGTCTAGGGTCCCACGTTCCCCAGATGTTGCACTATTCTACACCCCCGAGGAGTTTAAAGATGTTATAGCACGTTTTTCCCAGATGGAAACCCCAAAGCTTCGACTAAGCCAGAAGGCTCAGACGAGAATCTTCGAGCTTACCAACGGACACCCTGGCGCAGTTACAGCGACACTGAAAATGCTGCTCGAGGTACAAACACACAAATATTTCTATCTTCCTAAGTTTAACATTTTCTCTCCGTTCCTTGGCATTTCTTTCATTTCGTTGCGATTGATTCACCTGTACTAACGATTGAATTAGGTGTATCGCAACCAACTTAAGCGTCAGTTAGCCACACTAGATGAAAATCATATTGATAGCGCTCTTAATGATCAAGACGCTATGCAACGCCTCTGGGACTCGCCTTTTTCTCGATCTTTACCAAGAGAGGACTCAGAGACAGCCGTTCATGCTCTTCGTAGGGCGTTGGCTCAGAGAAGCATTATCCGTGACCTGAGCGATGAAGGCATCAAGGAATGTTATGAGAAGGGATGGCTCCATTCCGAACCAGTCGATATCACGTGTAGCACTGTCGTTTGTGTCTTCCCTACTCAACTACATGCAATGTGGGTATAATAGCTCACTTGACGTCGGTCTCGATTTTGTTGATTACTGATCAACCTTAGGTTTGTTGAACGGACTTTTAATAAGTTTACTGCGCCGTTTCCACGGGACAAGTATCCCAGAATCGAAGAGTTGGCTCTAGCTATCATACGGAAGTTCTCTCCCTGCAAGCTCTCCACTAGAACTCAGACTCGCCTGGGCCCCGGTGCTATCGTTCGACCTCCCGAGGCCGCCTATCAAGATGAGTTTTACTATGCATCCCTCCTAGTTCTTGGATACGCTATAGACCTCAACACCCAATGGTCGCATAGTGGATGTGGACGGATCGACTTCTGGTTCAGTTCCATGGGATGGGGCATCGAATTGCTGCGAGATGGAGATCGGCTGGACGAGCACTGTAAGCGCTTTGCTACAGGTGGTGTCTATGGACCCTGGATCAAGGATGGGCTCATCACGGACTGGCTCATCATCGACTGTCGGACAACTCGCCCACGGCCGTACAGTAAGCATCCTGCCCATTCTTTTCACCCTCTCCCTATTCTGACCGATATCACTACTGGAAGGTCCCGAGGCCAAGCTCTGGCGGGCTGTTTTTGATAACTCGTTCTCCTCCGTGGAAATTCTCGATGGGCATAACGCTGTGCTTCACCGAATCGTCCTCAGATCCAAATCGTGATGTGGTTCGCGGTCCGGCTTTGCGCTTGCTGTTCCTGTGCTGGGATTCCTTTCTTCTACGTGACATTGCTTGTTGTTACATGATTGGCGATTTCCAAAATTGATATGCAGAACCAAAGTCTCCAATTCTAATTCGACCAGACAATGGTGTTTGTAGTCGTAGACCACAAAAGAAGTGAGCCTTCTGAGAAAGAATACATAATCCTGCGTCGCTCGGCAGCATACTCTCCTAAGGCGGGGCAACCTCCTCCAAGCTCTGTTTCTGGGGGGAGGCCAAATAACCCCTATCCTTAGGAGGCAATCAAGCTCAGGCCTTTATTTCAGGGCGACCAAGCGAAAGCTGTGTGACGGCGTACGAGGACACCAGACTGGAAAAAGCATAACTAAGCGTAACAGGAAATCTACAGGTCCGCCGTTTACACGCAAAATTTCCTTCGTATTTACTCGGTGGATATTTAATATACAAGTTTAGGTTTCAGAGTCCATGTATTTCTGAGTTCCAGACAAAGTTCCAAGACGAACGAAGTTTATCGAATTATAATTCCACTCGGTAGACCGGCACGATATACTGGACGCGTGGTTTTAATCTACGTAACCTTATCCGGTTCTCGGATCGATATTGTGGCTGTAAACGGCCCCAAATGGAAGACAGGGTCCCAGTGTGTCTCACTTTCCATTCCCCACTGCGGCCCCGCCGATTTCGGGTCTCGGGGAAGTAGCCCTAGCACATATTGTACACGGAGCTGGCCGTGCCTACAATGGTATAGTCTCCGATTTTGTTCACTACGGCAGAAGGGCTAAGATCTATTACCCATTAACCCCTTTACGCGAACCACTTAGCTATGCACGTAGACATGTGTATTTCAAAAGGCCGATCATGGTTTGTCCCCATTGAATTCTCGTTAGACTTACCGTGTGTTAATCGATCGTCGCCTTCTCGCTTGTTTGCATTAATCATTATAATCTAGTTCATTTAAGAAGATCCACATGCTATATGGAGTACGCAATGGCTAACCCACTTTATGTCGCTTGGGCCACTTCGACTCCTGCAAGGCCAATGCGCGTGGCAATACAAGTTCGATTCGTTCGTATCCTGACAACCCTGGCCAAAATACCAGACTACTTCAAAGCTAGGAATCTGCCGTGAAAAGAGAATTTCTATTGTTGGAAGCCAAACATCAATCGACAAGTCTACAAGTCTCTAACCCATGTAAGAAGTCACCAGCTTGCGGTTCAGCTCGAGGATTGGCTTAAATGAATTGCGAAAATTTCCAAGGTTGATCATCCAGGTCTCAGCTTCAATATCGGCATCTCGTTACGAACTAATTAACTGATTCATTAAATCATTGACTTTGGTTATTACCAGACAATTCATCATTTATCATTGGACGCACCTGAACAGAAGACCCTTCAGCGTAATCTTTCTGAATTGTGGTATGTTCTGGCCTGATTTGGAAAATTCCAAATTGTAATTCTCCAATCACAAGCATGGAGGGTTTGATTAAAACCGTTGTTCATCGCGTGAGAATTTGTTGGGAACGGAGTGCCTTTTAGTGGTTTTTGAGTGGCCTGTAGTCCGTACAGGATGCTGGTGGTATTCGGCGTATGCATTCATTTCTGGCTTGGTCATTTTGCTTCCTCTCTTCTTTTTGCCATATACAGTGCAAGAACGTGCGGAGGCATTCCCTCACTGAAGGCCAGAAATGGTCGGAAATCATTCAGCGGTCATCCTCGCAGTGTCTTGGACGGAAACATGCATTGGTTTATTCTTTTTCGGCCTTCGATTCCTGAGTAACTGGAAATTCGTGGGGCGGTTTAGATGGGACTTTGCCGTCGCTGGTTTGACGGTGGTGAGTGTCTGGCCCTTTTTGTGAGAAGTTTCGATTCCAGGGTATATGCTAATGAGTAGCTTTTCTGACAGGCGACCGAGACTACTGCTCAGGTGTTCCTGCAGTTTTCGGTCAATGCTGGGATGGGCCGTCACTTGGATAATCTGTCGGACACGCAAATAGTCACAGCGCTACACTGGTCATGGGTGTTCCAGTTACTCGCAATAGCTGCTAGTATGCTAGGAAAGCTTGCGATTCTCGCCTTCCTTGTCCAGATTCGTGGTCGTCACGAGAAAAAGCCGTGGTTCTTGATTATCCTGGGTGTTCTCATCGGGGCAGTTAACATCGCTGTTCTTGGGACTATTCTGGGTCAATGTAGGCCAATGCACAAATTGTGGGATGATAGTGTTGAAGGAACATGCGACCCAGGGCGCAAAATGAACCAGAACTATTCGTTCTTCCAGGCTAGTGAGTCTACACATCACATCGACCCGGTCAAGAGTTGAGACGGTGCTGACTCATTAGGCTTCAACGCATTTAGCGACGTCCTGTTGGCATTGTATCCAGTTCATCTCTTTTGGAAGCTCCAGATGAAGCTGCGGATCAAGATCGCCTTATCTATCCTCATGGGATTCGGTTGGATGTAAGTATTTTCCACCAAACACTTCAGCTTGTCCCGACTTAACATTTTCCGAATGCAGAGCAGCAGTCTGCTCCGCTGTGAAGACATATGAGCTCAAAGCATTGACCGAAACAACAGATATTACCTGCAAGTCACAATCCAGAATTCCATCCTGAAAAATGCTAATTATTATATTCCCAACAGACGCTCAATCAGACCTCCTCATCTGGGCCTCGACAGAAGCTTGGATTGTCGTCATCGTTGGGTGCGTACCGCCCATCCGACCTCTCATGGAGAAGGTGTTGCAGCGACTGGGTCTCACCTCGAAGAAACCCTCGACTCCCTACCAGTACCGCAACTCGAGTGGATATGAAGTATATGGCACAAACAAGTCCAACCCAATGAGCCACTCCAACTTTCAGTCCAAAGCATACGGGGGGAGAAAGCCATTTGACGATGATAGCCCGGACTGGATCGAGCTCAACACATCTCGTGGGACGAATGGAAGTGAGGAACATATTGTCAATGGCACAAAGGATGTTATGATTAGGACTGAAATTGAGACTCGTTTCGAGGATGTGGAGGGTCAGGTCGACCCGCAATCAGGAGATTGTAGTAGCTCTGCGAAGGGTTCGATTCATGGGCGTCTTCAGGATGTCCGAAAAGTTGTTTAATGGTGTTAATTATCAAATGTGTTATATTCCTGGTACTTGCAATAAACATGTCCATTTATAATGTAGATAGTTGAATTCACTATGTGTTCCCTTCGTCCTGCCCAGGCCAGGTGATCAACCTAGGTTAAGGAAAGACCCACATCCCCGCGGATCCGCAACGCCGCCGATAACCGACCTCGGCTCACAGCGACACCCTCGTGATTATGACCTTCACCTCCCTCCCGAGGTGATTTTCTTCTCCTTTTCTTCCTCTCGCATTGAGCTTATTTCCACTCTATTCACAATGGCTTCTATTATTCGCGCGTTGCGGCCTTTGTCGCGTTACCCCTCAGTCCGCTTGGCGGGCAAACGGCTTGCTGCCGGCCGGCCCGTACAGAGGTACCGTCTAACCCAGGAGCGCATGCTGCTGAAAGTGTTTTCACTAACAATTTTCCCCCATTACAGCGCATATGCATTCTCAACCACCCCCCGCCGGCGGGAGGTCGACCTCTCCGAGCTGACCCCGACGCCGATCACCCTCTTGTCTGAGACGGAATCCCTGATGGCCGACTCGGTATCCAAGTTCGCAGTGGAGCAAATCGGCCCGAAGGTGCGGGAAATGGACGAAGCCGAGATCATGGACGCAAAGGTCGTGGAGCAGCTCTTTGAGCAGGGCCTCATGGGCATTGAGGTGCCGGAGGAGTTCGGCGGCGCCGGGATGAACTTCACCGCGGCGATCGTCGCGATCGAGGAGCTGGCACGCGTCGACCCCAGTGTCAGTGTGCTGGTCGATGTTCACAACACACTGGTGAACACCGCGATCATGAAGTACGGTGATGCCCAGGCCCAGCGTACCTGGTTGCCCAAGCTGACCACCGGCACCGTCGGCTCGTTCTGTCTCTCTGAGCCTGCGTCTGGCTCTGATGCCTTCGCGCTCCAGACCAAGGCCGAGAAGACCGCCGATGGTTATAAGCTCAATGGCTCTAAGATGTGGATCACTAACTCTATGGAGGCTGGTATCTTCATCGTCTTCGCCAACATCGACCCCAGCAAAGGCTACAAGGGAATCACTGCTTTCATTGTCGAGAAGGATACCCCCGGCTTCTCGATTGCGAAGAAGGAGAAGAAGCTTGGAATCCGTGCTAGCAGCACTTGTGTGCTCAACTTCGACGACTGTGTCATCCCTAAGAGCAACCTGCTTGGCGAGGAGGGACAGGGATATAAGTACGCCATCAGCGTATTGAACGAGGGTCGTATTGGTATCGCCGCTCAGATGACCGGTCTGGCCCTCGGCGCATGGGAGAACGCCGCTAGGTGAGATTTCCTGTCCAATATACACTCGCATATAAATCTAATTAGCTGACCACAACCAAAGATACGTTTGGAACGACCGCCGCCAATTCGGCGAGCTCATCGGAAACTTCCAGGGCATGCAGCACCAGATTGCGCAGGCCTACACTGAGATTGCCGCTGCCCGCGCTCTCGTCTACAACGCCGCCCGCAAGAAGGAGGCGGGCCAGGACTTCGTCCAGGACGCTGCCATGGCTAAGCTGTACGCCTCCCAGGTCGCCGGCCGTGTGTCTAGCTCTGCCGTCGAGTGGATGGGTGGCATGGGCTTTGTCCGTGAGGGCATTGCTGAGAAGATGTTCCGCGATAGCAAGATCGGCGCTATCTACGAGGGTACCAGCAACATTCAGCTGCAGACGATTGCCAAGCTTCTCCAGAAGCAGTACACGAACTAGACGGGATGGTGTCGAACACCTACCTAAATGGCTTTGCTTATAAATAGTTTGATTTCATGCACACTGCGGCGTATTGCTTGTTTCTTTTTGGGTACCTATTCATCGTTCCCTTCTGGTATACAGAACATGAAGAGCCATCATGGGTCGTGCCTGTGGCCATTTCGAATTCGCTCCACTGAGATGTATCAATGTCAAACTGTGTATACAAGAAAAGTAAAGGAGCAGCGCAGATGATGGCCCCAGTGATGCCAATGTGCCCAGCCTTGTTTGTATATCCAATTCCAACAATAATCTTCCGGTGTGGGACTCAAGTTGTCGGCTTAAACCGCTCTTCGAGTCACACCTGGGCATGTTGTAGACGGACCAGAGGTAGGGCCGAAGCTCCGCGGCTGCTCCGACAGCTTAGTTTATTCGGCACGGTTGTTATTTCCGTTCCAAGGTGACTATTTTTGTGTGGACCCCAATTTCAAACGTGATTTCCGCGACGACTTTGGAGCCTGAGAACAGGCATTGCTTTCAGATCTATAGCATGGATCAGTACACACGTTCCTATCGAGATTCTTCCACGAAACTTACATGCTGTGAGACCGGATCGGCCTGAACTCGTAAGGCATGTGTTTCCACCGACGATACAAGGCCCTTGAATTGCCCCAATTGTCTGGTACTTGCATTATTCATGAGGGAGGCACCCATGGATACTCGTATGTCGGATCCGTCTGTTGCGATGGAGGCATCGGTTGCGGGTACGTTGATGTGGATGGTTGGTAGACTCGGGCGGGAGTTGGCTGAGGGACAGGACTGGCACTCGACATGGAGAGTGACCGGTTGCTATAAGCGAACTGGGAGAAAGGAGATTCGGATTGTTGCTGGGGTGTGCAGATGGGTTGTCCTTGATGCATTTGACCGTCTATGGCATAGGGCTCCATACGATTAAGGAATTCCGGATTGGAGGCTGCGCCGAGCGACGGCGATCTTGTGGAGGGATATTGTTGTTGCCAGTCATATTGATGAGACGCTCGACGCGGTGCTGAAAGGCCCGATGGGCTTTGAGTGTGGGATGTGGTACTGAAGTGTGGCGGTAGCAATGCGCCCGTTGTTGGGATGTCCAGCGATGCACTATTTGAGGCTTGTTCCGAAGGCCACTCACCTCGAAATGAAGCCATCGGTTCGTTATTTGATGCAAACTCCGGTCGGCTAGTCAAAGAAGCAACTTGATGCTTCAATCGGATCACTTCACTCTCTAGAAAGGCATTCCGTTGCACGACTTCATCGAACCGCTCGTTTTGGAGCCGCATCTTGGCAATCTGTGACTGGAGCGCGGACACCTGGGCTTCAAGTTGCTCTATATGCCCCTTGGTGCGTTGACGAATGGACCGCTGAGCCTCTCGATCGTTGGCACGCTTTCGCTCTAGTTGTTCCGCTGACAGGGTCGAGACTTTCCTTGTCCCTGATCGAGACTCACGCCTCTTGATAGGTGGTTCTTCTTGAGAGCTCATCGTTATTGGTTTCCTTGCACTCCCGACACTCAACATAAAACTCCCCTCCGTTGCCCAGAGCCTTTCAAAGAGAACCCCCCGGTGACGACCATGGACCTAGCACTGGAGCCTAACATGAGGGGAAGCTGTGGATCACTGGTTTCGAAAGATCGTGTGTGGGTGGCTCGAGACTATTTCCGAGCCGAGCAGGGATCAAGGCAGAACGTGACAGATCGTGCCAATCCAGGGCTAGATTAGCTTGGACGAGGATACGGGGCAGAGGAAAATAAGAGACTGTGCCAGGTATGCCCATGAATGCTTTCAGGGGGTGATTATAAGCTTCTCGGCAATTGAATGGCCTCGATAAGACCACAATATTGTCCCCAACACGCGTCTCGTTTTCTCCATGTTGATTAACAAGCCAGGCAAATCTCCCGATGATGCGGCGGAAGCGAGACCTAAAGTCGACGCCTAAGCGCCCAATGAGCGCGGTGGAATAGACGAACTGTGTGGATAGCGACGGAGTACTCCGTACGGGCCATGGATATAGCGTCCTCTTTTAGCCACTATGGTCAGCCCCCATCATCAGGTCCGCTTTTTTTGACTCCTGCCAAGATGAATGGGCTCAAACTTACTGAAAGGTCTTCTGTTGGCCAAGCCGTGTACAGTAATGATGAGAATTTACTTTCTACCCCTTTTCCTTTTTTTTTTTGGGTTTGCGGACTGACCGATATAAAAGTACTAAGATACGCCTTGCACCATAAAGCATTCACAGACCATCGGTGATGAGCCGCGTCCTTGTGGAGCAGGCCAAGATCCTTTGGCCCGCACAGTCTGAACGCCGATGGTCCCCGAGAATTCGGCTCCTCCAGGTAACGACGGGCCCTGGTGTATTATTTGGATAGTAAAAGCATGCAGTATGAGCAAACTCATATCTCGAGAATAAGGGTATGTGAGGCGGCCGTTTGAAAAGCGTTTGAAAAGCGTTGATCGGCAATCTGTAGCCGCAAGGTTTTGACTCACTTATGTATGTGATTTTGCTTTCACCATGATCCTGGGGGAATTTAGCTGGGGGCTCATGTAAATTTCCTATTATTCGAGCAGCACGGTGTCCGCTCTAAGGAAATTTGGGGGGCCGACAACCTCTGCATTTTGATGTCTCGTAATGATCATGTTGACCACTCAGGGGATTTTGCCCTAGATCATCGAAGAATCATTCAAGCGTCCATGGATGTTGCACCTTGCTCAGATTTCGAACCCTGTCATGAGAGCAGCACGATGTTTAACTGTTTGATGAATAACTATCTGAAACGTACGCAGGCGACACAATCTATGTGAAGGTATGCAAGTGGGGAATCGGGCACGGTTATTTTTGAAAATGGTGGCCAAAATGTATGCCCAAGCGTCTAATAGCCGTGCATGCGGACGTTCGCACTGGTTCTAGACTAGAAACGGTCCGTGAACCCCCCGGTCGATCATTACGGATCCGACGCCGGATTTTCAAGTCGAGTCGTTCACCGCGAGCTCTACGGAGTAATCACTCTTGGTTTCGATGCATACCTAGGTAGTTGCCAATCGCCAGGATACGCTTCATTCTAAATATGCAGTCTGTGAGAATAAAAACACACAGAAAATTATTTGACTCGACTGAAAACGATTCGCATTTAAGGGTGGTAATGAGGGGGCCCGCCATGGCGTAAGAAAAATTGTATAAGCGAAGTTGACAGTGGTTCCAGGGACATGATCGGAGATTGTTTACTACGATATGGTACAACATAAGTAGCTACCATACCCTACATTATGTATGCATGTAGCAGTGTATTAGTTAGCAGTATGTACCGGATTTCAGGCCGCGGATGTAAATTTCCCGATCGGGGTGCCCCGCTTTATGAGGGCGCGAAGGGTTCTGCTCACTGAGTGTCTCACAGCACAGGGTGATTACTCAGTGGTCACTTATTTGTACGTTACTTAACTAGTAAGTATTCAGATGATAACTAGTCACATAGTTAGTTAGTTAATTAACGTAATCGGTAAGCGAGCTGGACACGCAAGCAAACTGGACACCCAACCACAACGCATCCATGAATTAGCACTTAATTAATTCAACCACCCACTATTCCACCAATTCGCTCCTGATCCTCTAAAAATCCAACAGAGTAAGAGGGTAGGATACGTGACCTACGTGTAAGACTGACTATACTATAATGATAATTCCACGACTTCATACTTCTATCTAGTGCAGAAAATGTTTTTGAAGAAATGACGGGAATCATTCGTTGCAGTGATAGAGGACTTTCCTTTGTATTGGAATGGTATGCCCAACAACAGCAGAAGTATAGCGACTCTCGGGAGAGACAGTGATCGATAGTCTGGCGATCAATCCTCGCACGTCTTGTCCTGTGATTAAGCTTGCTCATTGGGTTAAACTACTGTTTCGGACGTAGATCTATCTCCAGCGCCCATTAAGGAAAGTAACATTCCTCAATATGTCATACTGGGAAATACTGTGTCAGAACTGTCCGGCCACATCAAGCTTATGAAACGATGGACCCACTTGATCATTATAGTTTTGGTCTGGGTGTACTCTGCGAGAGCATCCTGGCCCAGTTCTCGCCCCAGTCCACTTTGTCTGTATCCTCCAAACGGCACGCTTGTATCAAGTACACTGCAGCAGTTGATACCAACCTTTCCACTGGAGATCGCGCTGGCTATACGAACTGCGCAGTTGATATCCTGGATGAAAACAGCACCAGAAAATCCAAACTTTGTCTTGTTGGCTTGGGCAACGACTTCCTGTTCGTCAGTGAACCCAACGATGACGACTACAGGGCCAAAGACTTCCTCTCGGCTAATTTCAGCGTCGAGAGTCGGGTCAACCAACATTGTTGGCCGCATCCAGTGACCCAGATCCACTTAGCCCATGATCACCTTCTTTGGGCGTTGGACGACACATACCTTCGCGAACATAGCTTCCCCGCTGGTAACTAGGGTTGCCTCCTCTTTGCCGCGATTAATAAAGCCCTTCACCTGATCAAAATGGCCCTGGTCGAACAGAGGCGGAAATTCAACATCTTCGTGAAGTGGATCACCAAAGGATTCATCCATGCTTTCAAACGACGCTTTCATCCGTTCAACCACATGCTTCTTGATGCTCTCATGGACATAAACCCAAGAGCTAGCAAAGAAAACCTGACCAGATAGTAGCAGAATACTGTTCACGCACCATGAAATGGCCACATCTGGCTTTGCATCGGGGAAAATAATGCTCGGACTTTTACCTCCCAGTTCCGACGCAACCCGCTTCAGATTGCTTCGGGACGCAGCTTGAGCGATCTGCTTCCCAACACCAGTACCAGCCGTGAAAGAAATCTGACCAATATCCATATGCTTAGCAAGGAGAATACCGGCAAGTTCTCCTCCAGAGATGATATTAAGAGCGCCTGGAGGGAATCCTGCCTCATTCGCCAACTCGCCGAGCTAAAGTGTTGACAGCGGGGTTCTCTCGCTAGATTTTATAATCATGGTATTAGCAGTAGCTAGGCATGGTGCAGCCTTCATGGCCATTCCCATGATAGGAGCGTTGAACGCCGTGAGCGCCGCACATACGCCCAATGGCTCCCGTTGGACAAGCTTGAGGAAACCATTACTCGTGGGGAATGATTCTCCATGAATCTTACCCCACCATCCAGCATAGTCTGCTTAGATCAATATTCCTCTGCCTTCGAGGTTGTTTGCCATTGGATAAACCTTACATCTAAAAATGTTGACCGCTTGTGGCAACTCATACCCACAGAACAGCTTGACGGGCTTCACGTTGCACACTGCTCCCAAATACGCGAGCTCATCGGCATGTCGCTCCATGAGATCAGCAACTTGTGTAAGATACTCGCCCTCTTCTCGTGAGGAAAAGCGGCCCAGCTTGGGAATGCACTCTTGTGGCGGTAACTGTGACGTTGACATCCTGCTCAACTGCTTCATGCACATTTGAGGTGACAATCGAACCATCGACTGTTCTGTAGCAGCTCAAGCGGGCGGGTGTTTGAGCATCGACATACCAAGAAATAGTCAGTTTTGTTTTTCCGCCTTTCGCAGTCAGAGGCTCCATACTTCGCCATGGACAAAGAGTCTGGTCTCAAGCAATTTTGTCGCAATATCTTGTGTCATTGTAAGGGCGCACCGCGCAATGCCAACTATAAGGGGAATAGAAACCTACGGGTCAACGCGAAGGAGAACTATATATTGTAGAAGAGAGGATTAGGCTACAACAACGTGTGATTATGCTCCAAATCATAATATTAAGCAATCTTGTAGTTAAGTGGGTTAGTTACATACATATGTATGTAGTTGTGCGACATAGCTTAAGCTTAGTGTTATGGTTCTGGGAGATTTTGTAAAAATGCCCGTCGAATATTCACCCCCTTACGTATGGGTCTTTGCGTCTAGCCACATAGGGCACTGATATCTGCATTGAATGGAGAATCTCCAAAAAAAAAGCAAATCTCAATGATTATTGTTGATTACCCCACTTGTCTTCCAGGTAGGGCCACGTTAAGTTTACTCACTCTCTCTTTGTTATTCTTGACCTATCCTTTAACCCCTCCCAAGCCCACTCTCCTCACCCTTCCTTTCGTATTGCGCTTTTCAGGCTTTATGGTAAAGGAATTGTATCATGACTCTTGCTCAAGCTCTCTTAGCCTTGGGTAGTGGTGTTACTCTCCACCATCTGTTCTACCGCTTGAGCGAATGGGATACTAGATCTCCATTCCTGTTAGCTTCGTATATTTCTGTCTTGGTCGCTGGGAGTGTCGGCATTTGGTTTTTAAATAGCCAAACAGAAGTTGTCGTGCCACTCTCGCCAAATGAATTTCGAAAGTCTTGGCTTTATCACATCCTCGGTGTGTACAGCAGCATGCTTGTCTACCGAGGGTTCTTCCACAGACTGGGCAAATTTCCGGGTCCTTTCTTTGCGCGCTTTTCCAACCTCTATCTGACAATGTTGTCTTCTAAGCTCCATCTCTACAAGGAAATTGGTGATCTTCATGAGACGTATGGGGACTATGTTCGAACAGGTAATGTGACAACTCCTTTTTGGCAGAGTATGTTTTCTAAGTACTTCACGAATTTAGGTCCTACCGAACTCTCAATCGTGGACCCAGCAGCGGTCCAGGCTATTTACGGTAACCAATCAAAGGCTACTAAAGGCCCCTGGTATACATTGCTCGACCCGCGAGTTTGCTTGTCATTCACTAGAGACAAGCAAGAACATGCGCGCCGTCGGAAAGTTTGGGATCGTGGATTCAGCACCAAGGGTAACATCTCATGTTTAGACTATTCATCGCCTGAATATACACTAACGTCAAGCCACCCTCCTTAGCAATTCGCGCGTATGAACCAGTCGTTGCAAAATACGCCCAGCAACTCGTGAGATCTGTGGAGCGAGACCTTGCCAGTCCAATTGATATGACGCGGTGGTTCAGTTATTATGCGTTTGATGTGATGGGAAACCTTGCTTTCGGAAAATCGTTCAACATGATTGCCGCAGGCAAAGAGGCCAACTTTATGAAGACAATTCGGACGGACATGACAAACATTGGCCATCTCAAACATATGCCCTGGATATTCCCTATTATCTTGAATGTTCCGCGCCTAAACGCAAACAACCTGAAGTTCTGGAAGTGGATTGAGAACCAATTCCTGGAAAGGAGTGCTGTAAGTGCATGATATCTTGGTAATTGGGTATAGAACCTGTGCTAATCGCTATGTACAGAACGAACCGGAGCAGCGAGATATCTTTTCTTGTATCCTTGATGCGTATAAGAAGGGGCCCCAGTCAGCCCAAGATACCCTTAATCTCCATGGAGATGGCTATCTAATTGTCGTGGCGGGAAGGTGAGAGACTCTTGATTCATATGAATATTCGCTTTTGCTTACCCTGACTAGTGACACGACTTCTACAACTCTATCGCATCTTTGGTTCCATCTTGCCGGTGACAAGGCTCTAACTCAGAAGCTTCAGAAGGAAATTGATGCTCTTGAGGAGCTGAATGATGATACCATTTCCAAGATCGATCTTCTTGATGCCACAATCTACGAGACCCTTAGATTGCACCCAGCGGTCCCTTCTGGTCTTCAAAGAGTTACTCCACCAGAGGGTATGACCATTGGCAAGGCATACATTCCCGGAAACACCGTTGTCCAAGTGCCTTTTTACACCATATTCAGAGGTCAGTTCATTCAGAGACCGAAATTGTTGTCAGGCTCTTACCAGATTTACCAGACCCACGAGCGTTTGAGCGTCCAACTGAGTTTATTGCGGAACGCTGGACTACCAGTCCTGAACTGGTCAAAGATAGATCTGTGTTTATTCCATTCAATACAGGTCAGTTTTGGTAGCGTATGGATGATTATAAGCATGCTAATCAAATTATAGGACAGTGGGCATGTGTTGGTAGACGGCTTGCACTCATGGAGCTTCGGCGCGTGACCGCAGAGCTCCTTATTCGATACGATATCTGTTTTGCTCCGGTAAAGCCAACGATACCTTTCTGGAGGACGGGAAGGACATGTTTACCCTTGCTGCTGCACCGCTACACTTGACTTTCACCAAGAGGCAGCGAGCTGCAATTGGACGCCAATAAAACTTTACCTAACTTGTAAAACTCGAGAATACTCAGGTCAATACGAAGGTTGAATACATGTCTCAATATTGGGCCTGATACCCAGGACATCAGGTGAAATTACCTACATAGGTACCTAGGTAAGTAGTCGACTAGTTAGTTAGTTAACCTTTCCGGGTATAATACCCGGTAAATTTATATATCCAATCTTGGTATTCGACACAATTCGTTACCCCTGAGGTGACCAGACATTTGTCATACGACCAGAGTTCTGTCACAAACCATTCTCCAGCTACTAGCCTGAAGCCAAGCATCTACGGTGATTACCAGCACTCAATTGTGAGATAATGAATTCCAAGAAGCTTTTTGTAGTCTGCGTAGGCACAGAATTAGGAATAGATGCATGCACTCTCGCATGATTCATGTAACTTTGTTAGAGTATGCCAGGTAGAGCGCGGAATAGATCTATGCCGACGTATTGGTCTACCCGTGGAGTGTCGTCAAGTCATAATCAAGTAAAGAGTCACCGAGGTTCCAAAACGTAAATACAACCAACAATATATAATTGAAGACGAAGAACTAAACTAAGTACATAAGGGAGTATCCTTATATATCCTTCGTTCCCTACTCCCTGACCGATCCCCTGGGGGTAGATGCTGGAGTTGCTGTATACTCCCAGATATACTCCCGTGGAGTAGATCTGTTCCAGATCATTATACTCTGTAAAATTCTGCATGTTTTTTAACGCATAAATGATCACACTAGCCTGTGTCCTAGAGGTCGCGCTCGCCGTTTGGACTAGCCTCCAGCAATATGGCCATGAGAAGAAATGCTCGTCGGAGAAGTACTGAAGATATACCTAGAATTTCCATCCAGTTTCAATCAAGTATTCCACTGGACCTCCGATATATAGAGGATTGTTATATGTTCACTTGAAAATACGTGAGCTGAGCAGGCAAATTACCCTATAAGGTTAGTCTTACTTTTCAGGAATTGCCCCATAATACACGTGATATCAAGCGAAGATAATGGATCCTCAGTAGCCAATCAGACGACGCTTACCAGACTTTTGGGGACAATCGTAAATGCTTGGCAACAAATCTCTTCTTTGTCAAATATAAACTTGTATTGATTCACATCATCAGACATCAAGTCTGATTTTGCTAAACTAGAAGGAATAAAGGAAGAAAGATTACACTCGCTCACACTTCTTCTTTGTTTTGTTCTCTGAACAAGCATTAACAAGTCACTCACTCGCCACTTCGAGTTTGAATTTCCATCAAAATTAATTGCAGCTTTTTGGAATATAGAATCTTGACCATCATGGAAGGTCTTCAGCTCAGCAATGACACTCAGTTGTACTCAACCATGGCTGGGAAGCTGGACTCCAAGCTCCTCAAAGCCCTTGACGTGATGGGGTTTACCAACATGACCCCTGTCCAGCAGCGTGTTTTGACAGAACTTCCAAATTGGCGCAGTGACTGCCTCGTCCAGGCTAAAACTGGAACTGGCAAAACCCTTGCTTTCTTGTTGCCTGCATTGCACTGCCTGCTCCAAGGTGATTCCGCGCCACCCAAAGGCAAGGTCGGCATCTTGATCATCACCCCAACCCGAGAACTTGCCCAACAAATTGCAAAGGCGTGTGATGAACTAACATCGCAACTTCCCACTCCTCTTGAGTGCCATGTTGCAGTTGGTGGAACGGCCCGAGCATCTGCTCATTCTCGCTTCATGAAGGGCGCACCATCCATTCTTGTCGCTACTCCGGGACGCCTGTGCGACTACCTATCTGAAACTCCCACCGCTAAGAAGCTGTCTAACATCCAAACATTGGTCTTGGACGAAGCTGACACGATGCTCGAGAGTGGTTTTATTGCTGATGTGAAGCGAATCCTCCAACTGATCCCACAAAAGAGCACTGGGTGGCAAGGCATGTGCTTCTCAGCCACTGTCCCACCCAAGGTCAAAGATGTGGTCAATATTGTGCTGAAGAAAAACTACACTAGCATTTCTACCATTGATAAGGATGAAGCACCAACGCACGAGAGAGTTCCCCAGTACCACGTGCTGATGCCGTCTGTGGCAGATACCTTCACTACACTTGCCTCCCTGCTCAAGCATGAAATCAAGACCAGCTCGAAAATCATCGTCTTCGGCGTGACTGCACACATGGTTTCCCTTCTCGCAGGAGTCTTCTGCAAGGGTATGGTTCATTTGAAGGTGTTCGAGATCCACTCCAGACTCAACCAGGGTGCTCGCACAAGAACCACGAATCAATTCAAGGAAGCCGAAGCCGGAATCCTGTTCGCTTCAGATGTTATTGGTCGTGGCATGGATTTCCCCAACGTCGACTTGGTCATCCAGGTCGGTTTGCCATCAAACGGCGAACAGTACGTTCACCGTGTCGGTCGTACCGCTCGTGCTGGCGCTGACGGCCGCGCTATCATTCTGCTCACGGAGGGCGAGTCGTTCTTCATGAAGAACAACCGCCACCTGCCCATCAAGCCCCACCCCGATACTGAAGCGATCAATGCTGGCGCTCCTTCATGCTCTAAAGCTGTCTTGCAGGCCATGTACACTATTGAGGAAGAGTCGAAGCAACGTGCCTATTCGTCTTTCATTGGTTTCTTCGCTGGATCCGGTCTTCTGAGGCAGCTTCGCCTCGACAAGGCTGGGCTTGTTCAACTCGCCAACGAGATGGCTGTCAAAGGCATGGGATGTCCGGAGCCTCCCCCAATGGACAAAAAGATCATTGGCAAGATGGGTTTGAAGGGCGTTCCAGGTTTCACCTATGCAGACCCGAATGAGATGGCCCGAAGCGGACGTCACAATTCTTCCCGAGGTGGCAAGAGTCGTGACGCACTTAGCCCCGGAGCTGGTCAAGGAGACCGAGGCGGTATTGAGAAGAAACGTGTAGGAGGCCGCGGAGGCCGTGGAGCACGTCGTGGTGGTGGACGTGGAAAGCCGAGATCATGATTCTTTTGCATACTACTATCAAGCACAGCGTGCTAAAATGTTATTATTCATAGACACTAGAGACTTACGACCTGCTACACAAAATTCCTTAATCGACACCAAAATTACTTGCGAACAGTTGCCCATCCTGATTGTAAATCTGTAAAGTCGTAAAGCTAGCCTCGGAGCTAGTCACGGTAGTCACCATTGCTTTAAGTCATCTATAAGGGTAGCCATCTAGACATTATTCCACAATATTTTGACGTAATTGACACAGTGTCATTATTGATCTTGACAGTTGTTCTTGGGATTGAAGACCGTAAAGTGGTCAGGTGACCGCGGCTAAACATGACATTTAGAGCTTCAATGCTTTCCATTCCACCACGTCATTCTTTAAATTTGAATGTTTGAGGGCGATTAGCTATCTATATTGATAACTGCCCGAAATGGACCCGAGCTACAAAGCTCGCAAGGAGGCCTTTGTGTCTAATCTTGCGGGAAGCACAATCCTCGAGATCAATGCAGTCACACTCGTTGCTTCAGTGAGAAACCTCGAGACTTTATGCAATTGGTACATTCTGACCTGTGACCACTCTAGACATCCGTCCTCCTTTGGTCCGCGCTCCAGTCCCGCTTATCCTTCTTCACACCCTACGGTCCTGCGGCACTCGCGACAGACTTCATCCTCAACGTACTAGCCATCCTATTCGCGACAACCGCATACTCCTCCGCGCCGCTTCTCCTCAACATCTTCCTCGTCTCCCCCGCCGTGCTCCTATTCCTTACCCGAAATAGCCTGCGCACCCCCCAAAAAGCCAAACCGCCCCGCAAACCCAAGACCAAAAATGAGAGCTCCCAGGAGGAACAGCAGGCCTTGCCGATTCACCCGTTCTTGACCACGTACCGCGCGGCCATGATGATTGTCACCTGTGTAGCCATTCTCGCAGTCGACTTCCGCGCGTTCCCACGTCGTTTTGCTAAGGTGGAGAACTGGGGAACATCTCTAATGGACTTGGGCGTGGGCTCCTTTGTATTCTCTGCTGGAGTAGTCTCTGCGCGCGCGGTTCTGAAAGGCCGCAGCTCGAAATCCCCGAGGTTAGCTTTACATAAGAGATTGATTGGGTCGGCTCGCCACTCCATTCCTCTGCTTGTGCTTGGCCTCATCCGATTGTGGAGTGTCAAGGGACTGGATTATGCGGAACATGTAACGGAATATGGTGTGCACTGGAACTTTTTCTTCACGCTTGGCCTTTTGCCTCCTTTCGTGGAGCTATTCGACTCCTTGACTACACTCATCCCCTCCTATGAGGTGCTTGCACTTGGAATTGCAGTACTCTATCAAGTCGCTCTGGAGTCGACTGATCTCAAGCGTTACATTCTCGTGTCTCCTCGGGGCCCAGATCTGCTATCCAAAAACCGCGAGGGAGTCTTTTCTTTCATTGGATACTTTGCGATCTTCCTCGCTGGACGGGGTGTTGGAGTCCGCATCATTCCTCGTGGTACCTCGGCCACAAGTTCGCCTCAGAAAGCACGGAACTCTGTTCTGATGCGTTTGGTCCTACAGGGAATGTTCTGGTCTACCATGTTCTTCTTCAATTCCACCTACGCATTCGGCTATGGTGCCAACATCCCAGTGTCGCGTCGGTTGGCTAACATGCCATATGTGCTTTGGGTGTCAGCATTCAATAGTGTCCAGCTTTTCCTGTTCTGCGTGACCGAGACTGTGTTCTTCCCCGCAGTCCACCGAGCCATTAGCAAGGAAGGCGAGGCAGAGCAGACTTCCTTTGCGACCAGTCGCATTCTACATGCTTTCAACCGCGGTGGCCTTGCAGTGTTTTTGATCGCGAACCTGCTTACCGGAGCAGTGAACCTGAGCATTCCAACATTGGATCTAAATACGCCGCAGGCTATGGCTATTCTAATTGTCTACGCGGGAGTGCTGACTGGCGCTGCTCTGGGGATGGACAAGTACAATATTAAGTTGAGCTTGTAGATATATTACTCATAGATGTAGTATTATCCAATATAACACATTGCATGTAAATATGCTAATATATAGGATAATGCCTGCCTTGTCAAACCCACGCCAACCAGCCACAAATACAATTTTAGCAGTCGGAGGGTGCAGGCAAGCCTGAACCTAGGCCGAAGGCTCGGCATTAGCCACAACGGCCGGAAGGCGCGCGCGTTTCACCTTCAATTTTCTACCTTAGCAGGCCACATAACCCTTAGTCAGGTCATGTTTGCGTATTCTCAATCGCAGTATGAAACCCGTCTGATGTATCGCAACCGAGAAAACCGAATCCCACTTGCAGTCCGAGTAGAAACTCTTTATTTGCCCTATAGGTAGATGCTGTTTGTTGATTAAGACCCACGGTCATTGGACCTTTATCCAGACTATCAGGCAATCCTAGGTATATTAATCCAGGGATGGGAGTTTTTCAAATCGAGTTGAAGATCAATTTGTGGTCGATTTTGAAGTGATTGCCTCCGATTGAATCGACAGCTCCAGCTACGGATTTGGCTTTCTCCAACCATAACCTAGCTTCAAGCGAAAAAGCGGAGAGAACACTTGGAGATATGTCAGGTCCGCAGATAGCGGGGAGAGTCGTATATACGAGGTTTGGTGTGGTCGTCGAACAAAGGTAGTGGCTTTTCCCCATGCAGATCGTGCATCTCCGCAAGTGTCTCTGCCAGGTTTTGGTCCTGAGGCTTATATCTGAAAATTTTAGGCGCTCTAGATAGCCGAAGAAGATATACAGGGACTTTGGTTAGACATGTATGAGCAGATTCTCAGTCATATCCGACATTGTTGAGGTCGAGCACGAAAAAGGAGCGGCGCCCTTCAAACTTGTTCACAGCAATCTAGCGAGTTTCAGCATCTGGGCGGCAAGTAGCAATAGTTTTCTTAACCTCTTCGATAATCGTTTTGATTGATTCTAGAAACTCGGAATGATCAAGAATGCTGTTAGGTGTGTCGCCAAGGATTCGAATTGGTGGAATTGGTGTTGAGGAGTCATATCCATTCAGGAATTTTCTCATAACACAAGGAATCCATCCGCCCAAGGATCAAGGCACGATCTCCCATGTCGAATTGATAATCTTTGGTACTGATATTAAGCTGAGCGAGGCGGTGATAAAACCAAGCGGATGAACAAAGTGTCAAGGGTGTGTAAGATAAGTTGGATGTCAACAATACAAAGGGTTCGAACTCCAGGGGCAAAGGGACGTACAAATCTTTGTAGTACCAAAACACTGTATCACATGATATGAAGCTGGCTACCTATATAAGCGCCAAGGATCCCCCCGTTTGCTATAGCCATGGGTTTGGCCGCGGCATGTGATATCATCGGTGGAGCAATATAGGAGCCGAGAGAGCCCTGCAAATCGATTCTGCAACCAACACTATGCCCTCCAACGAACAGTCTTTTCTTAATTATCCTCCAGCGCTGGAGGGTCCCAAGGTGCCATACAAGTATGAAGACCAGGTCCTACCGGTCTTCCGCGGCACGCCCCTAGCCATTGGCGCTACATTGTAAGATATAGGAGAGCTCCACCGATCGGAACGTGCTAATTCCCCGCTGTTTATATCAGAATCCATAACATCGGGTTTATCCAAAGCCATTTCTGGCGTAATGCCGGCTTTAGTGTCATTCGTGAAATTCCACACCTAAGCCAGTACGCTGGCCGCTATGATCCAACCGTCATCCCTGTCGACAACACCAGCCAGGCCGAGTCGGCAGCGAAAGCGGTGTCTGCTATTGTGGAGCGCAGGAAGGGAGACCGTGGATACTATACTTCTGCGGACTACCACGCACTCTACTCGTCGGGAGAGCTGACCCCGATTGCTGTCATCGAGACGCTGTTACCTCTGGTCCGACGTGATACCCAGCCGCCCGGGAAACACTCAACTGCTTTCCTTGAGTCTCAAGCCGAGTTGATTCGCGCAGCAGCAGAAGAATCCACGGAGCGATACAAGAAGGGCCAATCGTTGGGTCCACTCGACGGCGTGCCGGTCGCAGTGAAGGATGAGGTGCACCTCACGGGGTATAAGCGCACACTAGGCTCGAAGCTGGATTTCAAGCACGGTACTGATGCGACTTCGTGGTGTGTGAAGCAATGGCTGGATGCCGGAGCTATAGTGATTGGAAAAACATCCATGCATGAGATTGGACTGGGTGAGTTCCGATTATTGGTCGTCGTCGAGTTGCAGTAGCTAACACTCTTCAGACACAAATAACAACAATCCCAACTATGGAACACCCCGAAACCCCCACAATAAGGAGTACTATTGTGGCGGTTCTTCTGGTGGCTCTGGATACGCTGTCGGAGCGGGCCTCGTACCCATTGCGCTTGGTGCAGATGGCGGAGGCTCAATTCGTATCCCGTCTTCATTCTGTGGAATCTGGGGCCTGAAGCCGTCACATGGCCGCGTGTCCGGTGCGCCATCCCAAAGCCTCGCGCCCACTGTCGGTGTTATCGGTCCTATGGCTGCCAGCATCGATGACCTCGCCCTCGCCTATCGCATCATGGCCACTCCCGCACCACCTTCAGAAGACCCGATTTCGTCGCAGTTCCCTTATCCTACTCTCCCGCAGCCTGACGCCAAGAGGACGAAGACAATTGGTATTGTCCGCGACTGGATTGACCGCGCCGAGGGCCCTGTGCGCGCTGTCCTTGATCGGGCGCTCGACTACTACCGCGAGCAAGGCTACAATGTTATCGAGATCAAAATCCCTTATCTGCCTGAGGGTCAGCGTGCCCACGCTCTTACTATCATGGCGGAGATTGCATCCGGCGTTGATGCAAGCAAGATCCGGCAGCTCACAGCCCCGAATAAGGTGCTTGTCTCTATGGGTATGTACCAGATCACCGCACAGGACTTGCTCGCCTCCCAGCGGCTGCGCAATCTCCTCATGACACATCTCGCGCATCTCTTCAAGACCCATCCAGGGCTGCTCATCGTCTCGCCCACAACGCCCATCTCTGGTTGGCATATCGACGGTGAGGCGGACTTATCTCGCGGTTTGTCGGATGCCAAGTCCTCTGTGCGGAATATGGAATATGTTTGGCTGGCCAACTTTACTGGCTGCCCTGCTATCAGTTGTCCTGCTGGTTACGACCCCGATAGCCGTGTTCCTATCGGTGTGATGGCTATGAGCGAATGGGGTACCGAGGAAGATCTGATCGCCTTTGCTCGAGATGGAGAGTCTATATTGGGCTTGCCTAGTGGCAGTCCTTCGCTCGAGGAAGATGGAATTTCCTCGGCCAGTAAGGGTCTGCGGACTCCTCAAGACTCTGCGTGGGAAGATATTATCGCACAGGCCAAGGAGAATATATCCAAGTAAGAAGAAGGAAGAGTCTGATCAACCGTGGCAGGTTTATTTTTTTCGTCATTTAGTATATCCCCATGTATTTGTTTACAATTTACGAGAGAAGCCTTTCCTTCATCTCAACAAGATACGTTTCAGTCAAGCTTCTCTGTGTATTTTCCAACTCTCTCCTCGGAGTTTCAAATCCCTCTGGCAGGCCAGCCTTTGCCCTATTTCTTGCCCAAGTTCCGCATCCGAACGTGCATCGGTGCACCATCTTTTGGGTGCGAGGTCGCTTTCCCAGTGGTATACATTCGTTCACCCTCGACAGTCCGGCGGTCCACTTTCAAGCCCTGCAGTTCCCGCACCTTATCCCATTCATCCCAGGCCATCTCAATATCAAAATTACGGACAGTAAATACCAACACCAACTTGAGCACAACGACAGCCAGTTCCTGCCCGATACATTTCCTAGGCCCAAGTTGGAACCCACGCCATATGTTCCTCGCCGGGTGTAACTTGTCGCCTTCCAAGGCGGAAAATCGCTCAGGGATGAATTTGAGGGGGTCAACGAAGTTGGCTGGGTCATGGTGAATGGTGATAGAGCTGTCAAACAGATCGAACCCGTCTGTCGGCCATGGCTTGTCTTCCCCGTTTATTTTCAGGTTGAATGAAGGCTGACCTTCCCGAATCGTGATCGTTGCTGGATTCATGCGCAGCGTCTCCTTAATCACTCCCAGGGTATATTGCAACGAGTCCAGGATATGGGGTGCTTCCCGAATCTTCTCTGCAGCAAGGCTTGGATCGGAGCCAAGAACCGCGTCATGTTCAGCCTGCAATTTTGCCACACATTCGGGGTTTAACTGGAGTTGTCTGAATACACGGGGAATTGTGATAGATAACGCATCATCCCCGCCAAAGAAGAATATCATCAGCTGGTAGAAGACTTTTTCGATGAAGGCGTCATCGGGGGTATTGGCGCGGGTTCCCTCGACTCCGAGTTCGCCAGTATACTCTTCAACTGCAGACCGGATTACGGTTCGTGGCCTATTGCTAGCATCATTTATACCTTTTGTGATAAAGGGTCGAAGATGTTTAAAGAGCTGGTTTCTCTTACGCCGTACGATCAGTTTGAACAACGGGGTAATCCTCCAAAGAAGCTTGCGAGGGCTCAAAGTTATTTCCATGCGGCTCAGTTGCTCGCGGTATGCGATGGTGAATGGAGAGGGATATAGCGATTGAGAGTTAAGCCGGGTGTCACTGCAATCGTCAGTAAAGAGTACTGAGTATTCATAAGATAGGCTTGACTTACAGAACCACTCTGCCCGTGACATCAAATGCCAAATTGCTGGATATCTGCTCAAAAGGGAAAACCTGACCCCATTGGCCGTCACCACCGGAAAGGCCTTTGAGTACATCCGCAAATGCGTCAACCTCCTCGATAATAGCGGGTATCCAGGTTCTGATGTTGGTGCGACTGAATCCAGGGTTGAATCTCGAGCGCCACATGTGCCACTCCTCCCCGTGCATGCAGTTGAGGTCCTTCCCATTCGAAATGGGATTCAAAAACTCTCCTTGCATCGGTGACTTTGGCAGGCTGTTCCCAATCTCCATTTGGTTGGATACGTAGGCCTGTAGGGAAAATGCCATGGGCCTGGAAATAGGCCATACATCGACGTAAACGACAGGGGGACATTCTTGCTCGTTTGGGAAGAACTTCTGCCAGTACTTGCTGATGTAGAAGCCAAAGGTCTGTATGAAGTTGGCGTCAAAGGCCCAATCTCTGTAAAATTGGATCACAATGAGAAAATGTCCCAATAAAAATGAGTGAGGCAAGATTGGCTGGTGATGTTAGCTTGGGATTCTTTTCGGCAGAGCAAGAGACGTACTATGCCTTGGGACTGAAGTCTTCTGAATTTCATTCTTGCTTGATATAATTGCATACTAAACCGCAACGCCAGCACTGCCACGATCATTATGGCAAGCAGAGACAGCTTCTGCCCTTTCCCTAAATCACCGTGTTTGGGCGGCAGCGGGAATGGAAGCATAGTTGCTGTGTCCTGAGAGGAATTATGTACTTCCATTTTCAAGAGACAAGATACACCAAGGAGCAATCTGCAGAGAGTTATAAATTGACAAGAGGCATCACTTGGGGAGACTTGGGGCTATATATCTTTCATCTTATGGTTTATGACAGAGGCTGTTCAGTATCAGCGGCGTAGACAGCGCCGGAGCGGCAGTGGCCTATGCTAAAGGATTTGCAGATCCAAAGATTGTTTTTAATTGGAACATCCCCGTGAAGAGTTTAATCTTCCTACGCACGCGAGGTTGTCGTCATATCAATGTTACTTACATAGTTGTGCAACATCTGTGTAACACTTGGCACCTGCAATGATGGGATTAAGATCTACAAATACGAACTCGGGTATATCGCATTTACCTATTGTAGTATTCAATGCATTAGGGTGCATATATCTAGAGTACAAGACCAAAATATTCCGTGATCACTATGGAGTCATGCTGACAACTGCAGCTAATTCTCCACTTGGTTAACATGTAACCCTGATTGGTTATCGCCAAGGATCTGCACGTGCTGACCCAAGATTAGCCCTGCCGATGCGGGTTGATTGCCCCAAGCAGTTTGCTGCATGGAATGTAAATCATGTTCTATCTTCATCAGGCCAACTTTGCGGTGTGTTGATTCAACATGTCCCAGTAGAAGTGAGGGGGTTTATTCGATTAGGGAAAGAATGTAAAGTCTATCAATACGGACCAACACTTTGTGGGAATGAAGAGGGATTAGATACTTTCACAATATCAATCTCATACTTACAAAGTATATATGTATTCTATTTGGAGAAATGCCACAAATATATGTAGTATGCATCCACCATCTATACCATTTAACAGATGCTGCTCGCATATATATGTAGATATTTTGGCCGAGCTTGCACATATCGTACAGATCGTATAAATCGATCGGCTATTATGACTAGTGGAGTAGATGGCTCGTGAGTAGCGTCATGTCGTGCGTACTCCTACGTTCTTGTTGAGCCACGTCAGATATTCTTAGCAGCATGATAATCTATCTTACATACATCAATTGATGTATGTGGTCAATGTCGTGTAACAACTAACGCTTTAAAGTTCTCGAGATATCTATTATCTACCTCAATCGGTATAATACCAATGCCACACTGGGTCTATCTTAGCAGACGCTCGGACGCTTAATACTAGGATTCTTTCCCTTGTCGAGTGCAGTCCGTTGCGCTGCGGAGTATGCATCTTGCCCTTGTACTACATCCATGTTCAATGTTAGTCTACGACACCGCCCACATCAATGAATGTCCGATTTGAGACCCTCCGCTTATGCACATCTGGTCCATCTAAATTCGGTTTTGCTATTGGTCTTCTAATGGCGACACTCTCGGACCTCGCCATTGACTCTGAAACAATATCCACGAGAACCAGCTGTACGTGAGAGTTCCATAGGTCACTACTTCGTATAGGAAGGTTTAGGTCCACGTAGTCACAATGTCCTACGTACATGGTAGCCCTCTCTTGTCTCTAACATAAAAGGGTCCACGTTACCCCCAACGTGAGACGTTCTTTCATACATTCCCATTAACACAATTCCAGAGCAATCTAAATCTCTTCACACAAGATGCAGGTGGCATCCACTTCTTCCGCTGTCCGCCTAGTCTCGAACATTCCTTCCGTATTCGAAACTGTGGAAGGCTACAAAGTCCCCGTTTTCTTTTCACGCTACCCCGCGGGAATCAGCATCGCTGCTCGGGAAGTCGAAGATGCCCTCAGAAAGGTGGATGAGGAGGCTTCCGAGGAAGGTACAAGGGAAAGGCGTCGAGCACTTATCCGACACACCAACCCCTACGGAGATCCCTTTGCTGTTTGCCACTGCTCGGCATTTCCAGACAGACTAGTTCTGTTGTCCACCCTGGTTGAGGTGATGTGGATTCATGATGGTAAGATGCTAATATGCTCAACATATATACTGTATGCTAACGACGGACCTATCTATAGATGTGACAGAGGAGATGGATCATGTCTCTGTAAGAGCACTAGAAGTCTGTACGTGAATGGTCAGCTAACAGTCTATAGGCATGCCGTGAGCATGATGAGCTGGCAAAGGTCCTTCAACTTGACGTTGATCCATCGATGTTTGAGTCTGGAAATGTGCGCCAAAAGTCGCTGGCAGTCGTGCTTCGAAAGGCAATTGACACCGATCCCGAGAAAGCTCCTGCTATGATCACGATGCTGAGAAACTACCTGGCAACATTCGACAACATTGGTGGTGACTTCACACGAATGGAGGAGTATATGCCCTACCGGATCGGCAACTGTGGCTACTGGTAAGTGTTTCGTACCCTTATAAGGAGCTCCCACGGTAAAAGCCTGACGATCATCATCAAGGATGTCCTCTTACTTCATCCGCTGGGGAATGGATATGGCCCTCAGTGAGGAAGACTACGCCAGTATCGAGCAATTCGACATTGCAATGGGGAATGTCCTGGGTTTGACCAATGACTACTTCAGTTGGAATATCGAGAAAGACCAGGAGACAGATCGAATGAGAAACGGAGTGGTGGTTCTGATGAAGGAGCATAACACCACGGCAGATGCGGCAAAGATGATGCTTCTTGGTGTTATCGTCGAACAAGAGTCTCTGGCTGCAAAGCTCAAGGAGGAAAGACTGAAGAAACCCGCTTCAAAGGAGATCTTGCAATACTTCGAGGCTATTGAGCTTTATGTTGGTGGAAGCTGCTATTGGCACTCGACTGCGCCCCGCTATCAGGTCTTTGAGTGAGTGTAGATAAAGACACACAGTGCAACTGTGGATAGGTATATTTCGTATAGAGGAATAGATTTATCTGGTGTTTTTGAGATGGTCCTCTGGAGGAAGGAACCTCAAGCCTGGTAGGCAGGTGAGTACAACATACGCAGGGTGTGAAAGCCAAGCGGACTCGGACTTGAAATAGAAGAACTGTCACCCGTGGCTTTTCGTCGGTTAGATAAATTGTACAGGAATCTACATGGAATATAAACCTGCACTAAAAGTACTCCTTGACTGAGAAATGAACCCGGATTAATATACATTGAATGACGAAGAAAACGCTGCATCAAGACCGACAAAATCAAAAAGCCTCCTCCTAGTAATATCCTAAGTCTCAAATCCATATTCCCTCGAGAGGATTCGGAATAAAGAATTCACATCCCAGATGGGCTGCTTCACCATGATCCTGGAGCTCCCTCAGGATCTGATCTCTGGGGTGGGGCCCATCAGTAAGATTCTCCTTGATGTGAATAATGTAGACCTTCAATCCCTCTAGAGGAAGAGTAGTATCGACCGAAGTCTCAGAGTCCGGATTTCCCAGAGAATCTTCTAGGTCCGCTCTGGGTATCTGAGTCTCGAATGACTCGCTCGGATGCGATCGAGGCTCAACAGGCTCGGGCGTCCCGCCTTTATCTGCTGAGGAGCTTAGAGTCCGTTTCGATCGAGGGCTCACTTGCTCGCTGCCGATCTCGACGGGGCCTGCAGGTTCACGTTTGCGCTTTTTCTCGCCCGTGGTGGAATCCCGCACTTCCGTAACTCTGTTGGCTAGCGCGCTGAGCTCGGAGACTAGATGCCGGGGACACATGTGGCCGTACAGATATGAGTCGTCGGTGCTGTCATCGTAAGAACATTCGATGAAGATCGCTCGTAGGTTTCCCGTGGCAATTTTCGGGGCCGCGGCCTCCCATACTCGTTTGTTGTGGGTCCCCATGGAAACTGAGTCGGGCTCGACGTCACCGAACACGATGATTTCGCTGCCGGTTTGATGATCCCGCAGAAAGAAGGCAGAACTCTCGACTGTTGCCATCACTGGCTCTTTGGGGTTGGAGGGGAGTAGACGTGGAGAGCGAGCGGGGGAATAGAAACTGGGTAATGGTTAAGAAATTTCGTAGGAAGATTGCCAATCTTAGCTTACCTGCCATCGGTATGGTCCACAGAAATCGCCCTTGAAGGGAGCATCAATTGGTGATCGGAAAAGACGGTACTCCCAACTCGATGATGCGTCCCGCTTTCTGGGTGGTATCGCTGCTTGCACCGGCCATGGCTAACACTCAAGCACTTTGTCAGTAGGCCATTGCAAGCCCTGACATAGCCTCTACTGTCCCCGCGGCCGAAACGAGGGTTTCCACCTTCCACCAAGCGCTGATATGTGAGCAGACCAGCACCCCCATCCTCGTCCGACAAGTTAGGCCAAATGACATCGTTGAACATGTGGTTTTTGAGAGCGGATAGCACAGATGGTAAAGCAGCCACAGGCTTTGGTCCGTTACCCGCCTCCAGAATTGGAGTGTTAATGGCGAGCCCTGAGATATGATCTAGATGAGGGTGTGTGATGAGAACAGCACCGATGATTTCGCGAAATACATGGGCTGCATTTGCCTGTGCTGTGCTGTAGGGCAGCTCAAGCCCCTGAAATGGCCCACTTGTCATCATCCCCTGATCATCCCTGCATTCGGGGATGTATCGTTCCAGTAATCGAATGATACCTGCGAGAAGGGTACCCGCATCGACGGCGACCACAGAGTTTGAAGACCATTTCGTTGATGTTGACCGGACAAGAATGCCTGTGACGCTATCTTCGCGGGGTCCACCAGTCGGGCCCTGAGGGAGTCAGCATCCATTAAAGTGGGAGTTGCATGGTCCCATCTGCTAGAACCCGCCATCAGGCAAGTTGAGAAAACAACATCCAATCGCTAAGATGTCTATCAAACCTCGACACCTGGCCCTGCACGTGATGGGTTCTGCAACAGACACGAAACAAATCAACGGGTCCTGACCTACCAAGACAATGACGTGGAATGCTGCTTTCTCAGCCATTATTCCACTTGTCTCACCCATCATAGACATGTG